TCTGTTACTTAATAACAAAATTGACACATGCCGACTGTGAAAAACTCAAACAACTCAAAAATGAAGGCTCAAAGTTCATCTCATAACTAATCCTACTCTTCAAAGGTTAAGCTAAACTAATAAAGACAAAAATAATGTCCAAAGGTTAAAAGAGAACATGTAATCCAGTTTTAACTATGAGGGGCCAGTGGCATGAAGTCAATAATGACCTGAAGTTTGTAGAAAATGCTAAATTCTGCCAAAAGGGCTTCTGTGCTATATTCAGACCCCAAAAACGAGCAACGTAATGAAAATAGTAAATAATAGGGACTTCCTAATAGCCGTAAGGACAGGTGAATATTATGATCTGAATGTCTGTGCTTCCCCAAAATTTATTATAATTGATGTATAAGGAGGCAGGACCTTTAGCAATGATTACTTCATTAGTTTTCACATGTACTCATTTGTGTTTGTGTAGAACTGTATAGAAGTTATTCACAAACTTCAATCTTCTTTCACAGAGTCACCACAACCATGACACAGAACTGTGCCATCACCAAAATGGTGCTCTCCACCCCTACTGTCCCTGTCCCCTGGAAATCATTACTTTATTCTCCATTTCTGTAACTGTCATTTCAAAGGTTATAAAATGGAAACATGTATTATACATTCTTTTCAGATTGGCTTTTTTAAACTTGGTGTAATACCCTTGAAATTTACCCAGTTGGTGTATAAATAGTTTATTTCTTTCTATGGATGTATCAGGTTATTTAACCATTTGTCCACAGAAGGATATATGCAGTGTTCCCAGTTTGGGGCTATTATGAATAAAGCTGGTACAAAAATGTGTCCACAGGTTTCATTTCTCTGGGACAAATGCCCCAGAGCAACTGCTGTGTCATATGATAAGTTCATATTAAATTTTATTAGAACCTGCCAAGTGACTTTCTGAAGTGGCGGTATTATTTTACATTCCTACCAGCAGGGTATAAGTGGATCCAGTTTCTCTGAAACCTCACCATCACTATATATTTTCACTATTTTTTAATTTTAGCTAATCTGATATGTTTGGAGAGATAGCTCATTGTGGTTTCAGTCTGCACTTCCTAATGACTAAGGATATTGATTTCACACGCTTTTTGTCAACTGCATGTTCTTGCTGTAAAATGGATAAAATGTCTTTTATCCATTTCATATTGGATGCTTGCCTTTAATTGTTTTAAGAGTCCTTTATCAGATATATGTTTTGCAAAATATTTCTTTCACTCTACAGATTATCTTTTTCATCTTTTAACAAATGTTTCTTACCCAGAGCACAAGTTTTTAATTTTTCTGAAGAAAAATGTATTCATCTCTAAGTTTTATGGGTCATGTTCATGACATTGTATCTATAAATTCTTCGCATGACCCTACATTCCAGCAATTTTCTCTTATACGTCTTTCTAAAAGTTTTATATTTCACATTTAAAGCTGTGATATGTTTTGAATTAATTTTTGTTAAGATATGAGCTTTAGGTCAAGGTTCTTTGGAGGGGGGCTATAAAGATTCATTATTCTAACGAATACCATTTGCTTAGAAAAAAAGAACTCTTCACTCTTGCAGTTCTACCTAAAATCAGTTGGGCATATCTGTGTGTTTATCTCGGATTCTTTGTTCTATTTCATCCTCCTGTCTTGATTACTGTAACCATAAAAGAAACCTCAAAATAGGATAGAATGAGTATTCCCATTTCATACTTTTTTCAAAGTTGTTTTAGCTATTTTAGTTTCTGTATCTTTATACATAAATTTTAGAATAAGCTTATCTATGTATACAAAAAATCTTGCTGAGGTTTTGATAGGAATTTCATTAAACCTATAGATCTGGAAAGAACTGACATTTTTACAATTTATGGATTCTTCCAATCCATGAATACAATGTCTATTTATTTAGAATTTCATCTGCATTCTATAATTTTTAGCATATAATGAGATTTATACCTAAGCATTTCATTTTGGGAATTAGTGACTATAAATAGTGTTATATTTTCAACTTTGATAACCATATGTTTATGGTGAAGTGCAGTCGTATCCATTTATTTACATATTGTTCCTGTGCTTCTGAGCCACCACAACAAAGTTAAATAGCTACACCAGTCACCACATGGCCCATAAAGCCTAGAATACTACCTAGCCAGTTTCAGAGTTTGTTGGCCGCAGTTCTTAATAGTAAGATGTAAAGCCTGGGATAGTTAGGAATCACCTCATCACTACATGGAAGGAAGATATTGGAAAGTGAAGCCAGCACAAAAAAAAAAAAAAAAAAAAGAAAGAAAGAAACCAACTCCAAATATTATATAAGTTACCACATTTTGACCCTAGTATTTTTTTTTCAGTTACATAACCCGATAAACCCAGTTTTTTCTCAAGAAAGTTTGAACTGGATTTCCTTCATGTCAAAAAAAATTATACAGATTTGCTACACAGATAAAATCCTTAATGCTCAATGTAACACCATGACTGTAATTTCTTCCTCCAATTTGTCTATCGATACCATAGAAGGCATTCATTGTTTTCTAGACTAGAATGTAATTGTGTACTAAAAACTGATTTATGCAAGTTAATTAAAATGTTTAAAAATCAACTGATTTGGAGTTCATTTAGTTTTGTTTCCCCTAACCAATCATCCTAAGGTGTTACTGAACAAGGAAAAAGCAAAAGGAGTAGAAACTAAAACTAACTTTTAACAATCAATAATCTGTCACAGGACAGCTGAGATAAAAGCACAAAAACATAAGGAAACTGCTCTAAAACCAGCTAGAGAAAGAATTAAAGAAAGTCAAAACTCCCAAGGGAACAGATGTAACTAATTAGGGAGATACTGATTAACACTGGAGCAACTAACTGCTTACTGGGCATATATTTCCAGCAATGTTCCCTAGACGTTATCAGCAATGGGAGAGCAAATTATACCTAGTGTTACTGTCGGCTATGCCGTCATCATTTGCCTGTTTTTATCTGCCTCTTTCGGAAACTAAAAAGCACTTGGTGGTATGGTTTGCAATGTGACCTGTATGTTCCTGTGAGGAAGTAATTTTGTAACATGGGTAGACATAGAATTGCTTCGTGCTCAAAGTTGTTTTAATATGTATATTCTGAAGCAAGCAGATTTTTTTTCAACGGTGCACTTTCTATCCACAAAGGCCAGATGTCAATCTATAGGAAAACTGAAGTGGTTAGTAAGAGCTCAGTTAGACACAGAGAACAGATACCAAGCGGTAGTGAGGGGCAGAAGAGAAAACTTAAAATGGAGTTAATGAAGCAGTTTTAGAACTCCAGCAATTGGGGGGAAATGGTAGCAGGACTTTTTAACCCATACCAAGAATAAATAGCATATCATGATGAGGTTCTTCACCCTCCCTTATGTGTTTGAAAGATCATTCTGGAGAGTGACAGGAAGTATGCAAAAAAAAAATGGTGCAAGAATTCTTATACAGTGAGCTGACAATGTATCTCTACTAAAGCTGAATAACAAATACATCTAGGGACAAACATGAGATCAAATTCTGTGTGTGCCACAATGGTGAAAATTACCCCATTCACTGCATCCTTTTTCTCCTTGTGCTGGGTAGTGGCAGGGCCACACTGCCTAAGGGCACTCCTAGCACACACAGATGCACACTAAAGTGCTTAAACTAATGGTAGATTATGCCAGCAAACATGAAGACTTTCCAGAAGATGCTAATGCAGACCTCTGGTACCACACAACAGTTGTGCCCCCAAAGCAGATCTTTCTAAAAGCAGAAATGTTCACCTGCTTTTGAGAAAATCTCTACAGGTAGCAACATATTCAGAAAAATGTCTTACGTTTTAGTCCAGGAGAATTAAGATTAAATAATGTTTCATTATAGTTTAGCCAAGGGCACTTAAGTCTTTAAAGAGTTCTTTAAAACTTGCTCTATATTAAATGTTATGCGAACAGTACTTATTTGTCTACAGTTTGCTGGCTGAATCAAGTGCTTCATTTACGTGGAACACAGCTGAGGAGAAAAGTACATTCATTGCCAGATGACTTCACCAGGTTGGGCTGAGAAAGAGACCCACACACGAACCCAGATCATCTACACTGGACATACGCAGTCCTACACTGGTGGAGGTCAGGGCCTGCTTTTCCTTGCATAGATGCCCTATTTGATAGTGCTTTTGTCAGCATCAGTTATTGGCTTCCTGGCCCGGTAGATTCTTTCTATAATTTATTGGTGAGACACAACTAGACAGTGAAGTACTTTCAGAATTTCTATAACCTTGAGATTCATTGAACACTAGGGTTGAGATCCTTAGCACCAAGATAAAAAGACTGTTTTGGGACTTTCCCCAGGGGTCTCATGTGGGTTTTTACATGCCACAAGACGTAGAAAAACCACAAGATTGCATCACCCTGCAGAGGCCAGCAACTCGAAATGAGAACACAGATCATATCACCAGGCTTACCTCCTTCCACTGACCTTGACAATGTCCTTCTGCTTATAATGAGCGATAAGTCACTATGGAGAGAGGAGACTAAACTAGAAGGCAATGATAAGTCATGCTACATAACCTGTATATGCTTTTATAATTCTTTATCCCATTAAAATGGGATAATGTCTTTATCCCATTAAAAAACAATATTCTGTACCCTGCTTCACGAAGTCATTGTACGGCCAATAAACAAAACTCAGTCAGCCAGAGTGGATTCTGCCTCATTTAAAAAACCTAGGGGTATTACACCTGCCTTTTCAAAAGGCAAACTTGGTTTAACATGCAAAACTTCTGCCTTAGGATTAAGAGGTGCAAGTTCAGGAACTACATATACATGATAATAATAGCAATGGTATTAGGAGCAAGAGGAGTAACACAAACATCAATTTAGGAATAAAACACTACCAATGGTACTGGTCTCAAAGACTAAGGTTTTAGTGCAACAGCAAAAATTATTGTACTCAGGAATCAACAAACAGCTCAGGATCTTTATTCTTGCTCTACTTCCCTGAATTGTTACTTACAGGCTCCCGGCCATCCATGGCTTCCATCCAGAGCCTCCGGTCCTCTTCTGACAATGCCTGCATAGTGATAACCCCTGGCCTGCGGAGAAAGGAAGGACATGGACATGAACCCAGTGCCATAGGGAGTGAAACTGACAAAGGTAAACCGCAAAGAAATACCCAATCAACAGTGTGAGAGGTCGCTGAAGTCATTTGGCTTTTCTAAGCCAGCTTCCTGTTTCAGAAAGCAAAGCCTCCTTTAAAAGGGCTCCAAATCCCACTCCCCAAGCGAACCGCCCATAGAGAGGCAAGAAACACAGAAGACACAGGTAAGGAACTCAGAGGAGTAATGTGATTCCTTTAGATGCTGCTCATTCCTTAAATTTTACTCATCTCCATTCTCCAGAAGACTCACACAGCGGTTACTCACAGGAGAAATGCCATAAGTACCTACTGTGAATTGAGTTACTGAACTCAGGAAGAAAAAAAAAAAAGACGGAGAATCAGCTAAGCTAGAGGCCTTTGGTTTCCCTAATATCTAGTTCATTGCTTCTAAACTGCTTTTAACAGGGAGAAGTTTTACGGAGTTAATCAGCTTTGTAATTATGATTATACTGAGTATATAGAGTTTTTTTTAAGTGAATACTTATCATATCAAGGGGTAAGCACTTTATGGGCACTTGGTCTTTTCACTCTGACTAAAAATCTACTTGCTCTTTACAACTAAACATAAACCCTCCAGAAAGTAAACACATAATATCAACTGGTATGTGTGGATTGCCCATTATGAACAGTAATCCACAAGAAAAGAAAAATGGTCACTGTGCCACAAAAGTAACCTCAGGAAAAGGTCATACACTGATCAAAGCAGGCATTCTTTATTTAAGGTCCACAGATAGATCCCACATTGTTCATAAACCACTTCCCCTTCAAATATAAGTGTGGTTTTCTGGTAAAATAATTCAAACTGTCCATATTTTCAAAGAGGACTGCAACCTTTAAAATGTCAAGAATTTTAACTGTCTAATTTATAGTTTTTAAAACTCCAAAAGGTAAGAAGAGATCTATGAGTGAGAACTAAAATCTACTCGCCATCAAATCCACAAATCCTGCTGAGGATTCTGAACAATACTAGAACTACAGAAACCTGCTTATTCTTACCCACCTGCAATCCCTATGCCTGGCTGGTTTCCGTAGTTCTAAGACAAGTCTGTTTGTCCTGAACCTATTTTAAATACTACAGCTGCATCTTTTCATTGATCATCTCTCAACATAACCTAAGGAAAAACATTTTCAAAGATGCAAACATGTACATTAGCAGGGCTGGGGATATAAGACAGTCAGGTGGGGGCTCGGACAGAAGAGTGCCCAAGCGTGATATGGGAGGCTGTGGGTGCGTGGGGAGTGTGTGGGGAGGGAGGGGCATTATGAAGGGCACGCGGCACTGAAATCACAACACAAAGAAGGCTCCAAAGATGGGATAACTCCTTTCTCCAAAAGTATCTGCAATGGCTCTCTCTCCTCTTTTCAAAAATTCTTCTAATCAAATTCAAATGCCCATTTCCCATCATCCGTCCATGAAGTGTGCTACATTCCCTGTGTGTGTGCTCACAGCCATGGCTCCACAAAACTAGATTGGCTTGGGGGAAAGCATCATGTTACTTTTAAACAAATAGCTTTGAAACTACAGGCTACTGTAAAACCAGTCACTGAGCCTGGATTTTGGTTATTCAACATCTTGTACCTCTGTACCTGCTTCAAATCAGGTAACTAATTAAAATGGAGATCCCCAACTCAGCCTTACTGAATCTGAACTTCTTGGCAGGATCTTAAGCAGCTCACCAGATAATTCTTAAGCAGAGTTAAGTCTGAGGCCCATGTCCTGGCTGCTTGCTGAGTCTCTCTTCTTTCCTGGTGCCCTTACCCTGGCAGCAAGTTGCCCTCCTCTCCACCCTGGGGTCATGGAGCCAACATGTCTCCAGTTCATTTGCTCTAGGAACAGTCTGAGCGCAAGAGTTGCCTCAATACCAGGCTCTCTAGGCCTCGCAGATGTCACGTCAACTTCATGGCACACTGTGTGAAATTTTCACCCAGAGCCACAAAGAGGAAGTTCAGACAAACTCGGAGAGTGTGAAGGGTAGGCCTCTTGGCCTCAGTAACTGGGAAAGTCAAGAGGATCTGTTTTTATTTCAAGAAAACATACCAAAATATAAATTTTTTTCCACAAGTGGTCTTGTTCTCTTTTAAGGGGAGAGTGTGGTGGAGGGGTGGCAGATGGTGGATGAAGCAGATTTAACACACTTAGTTTTATCCTTGTCCCAGGTTCATATAATCTCTTCCTCTCCCTCATGTACATACCTTTGGATATAGTACCATTCTTTCCAGGCATCTAGAAAACACTCATTTATTCTCCTTTCTCACAAATGAGATCACTATTATACAAATCCACGTCCACGTGAATTTCCTAGTACCAAGGTGAACGGGTCGACAGTATTTTGAAATTAAGCAACAACCCTTTTTTTGGTATTTCTCTTCCCTAGGCCTCTACCAATCACCATCCTTCAAAACAAAATAAACAAGCAAAACCTCCAATGGCCCTATACTTTCCATACAAGTTCCTGTAAGACAACATACTTTCAGATCTTCTCCTGCTGTTGGTTTAGTTTACACCTGAGATGCACATTTTTTTTCACAGCAAAAACTATGGGGCAGGCACAGGTGTAGAATGAGGAAGGGAAATATAAAACAATGCAGGAGAAATAGAGTACATGATCGGAGCTCTTTCTAGCTCTACACAGAACTGTTACCCTATTAGACACTATAATAAAAGAACAACAGCAATAGGCCACTACCATGTACCAGACACCGTGTCTAGCAAGTTATAGAGTCAGGACGTGAGCACAAGAAATCCATCTCTTAACCCTTGTGCAAAACAGCACAGCAACTGTGAAGGTCTCACAGTTCTCAGGAGCTCATGTTGACCAGCCAAGACCTCTAGTGTCAAAACTAACCAATTACTCCTGCAATAACTTAATGAGCCCTCGCAAAGGATCAAATGAGATGGAAGGACAGATAGCTCTATAAAGCTAAAGCCGTTCATAAATATGAAAGCTCAGAACACCACTGTGAGTGACCATGGCCAATCCAAAAAACAGGAATTCATATCATAAACACATATCAATTTTTTTAAAAAAGGACCCATCAGCACCCAATGTGACTGAGGCTCATATCTTCTTCAGAAGTGGTTCTTCAAATTTTTCTACCTCAAAAATATTCAAGACGTGTAAAGGCAATGAGTTTTTTTTAATTCCTAAGAACATTAAAAAAGTACTAATCATAAAGAAAAAAACATTGATAATTTGAACTTCACCAAAATGAGTTGTACTCATCAAAGGATAATATTAAACTGGACATAATGGCCCATATCTGTAATCCTAGCACTCTGGGAGGCTGAGCTAGGAGAACTGCAGGTTCAAACCTAGCCTACAAAACTCTTCAACTAAGTGAGATCCTGTCTCAAAATAAAAAGGAAAATAAAAAAGAGCTAAGGATGTAGTTTAGTGTAAAGGCCCTAGGTTTAATCCCCCTTACCCTACACATACACACCAACATTAAAACGAAAAGGAAAATGAAAGTGAGAGAAGATATTTCTAATAAATACATCCTCCAAAACTCACATCCAAAATATGTGAGGAATGCCTACAAATAAGTAGCGGAAAAAATGAACAATCCAACTCAATCAAAGACTTACTATGGACTTCATAAAAGAGGACATTCAAAAGGCTACCAAGCATAAGAAACAGAAAACCAAACTGTTATTCATTAGGGAAATATAATTAAAACTACAATGAGACACAACAAATACTCTCCTGAGTATTTGAATGTACAGGATTAATAAGACCACCATACCAACTAGTACAAGAATGCAGAGCAACTGGAACCTATAGATCGCTGGTGGAAGAATAAATTGATAAAACCACTTTGGCAGTATCAACTAGAACTAAATATGTGACCTAGCAATTCTACCTCTCATGTATCGTTAAGCTTATGTCCACCAAATAGTACACTCTAGAATGTTTGCAGCTTTATTCATAATTACCCCAAACTGCAGCAACAACAAAAACATCTATTAGTAAGAGAATAAAATACTGAATATTTACACAACAGAACACCATTGAAAAGCAAAAAGAACTACCTCCTTCCATATACAACCTCAACATGAATGAATCTCACGGACAATGAGGAAAAGAGGTCAGATACGAAAGATTACAAACTGTATGGTTCCAGTATATACGATGTTCAAATACCTGGAAAACACCATGGTGGCAGAAGTCAGAAGAATGGCTGTGTTGGGGGAAGGATAAGGGTGAAGGTTGGGAGGACATAAAGGAAACTTCTGGGGTGATAGATGTTCTATATAAATCTGGATGGTTTACACAGGCACATGAGTGTATAAAGTCATTAAAATATACACGATATTTATGCATTCTATTATGATTACATCTCAGTTTAAAAAATTGTTTTAAATACTCAAGAGATATGACTGCTCACCAGTAACTTGGCCTTACTAGTTATCCTAACTCTAGTACTTTCCAGCTGTGTGGCCCTGGTGGACAAGCAACTGAGCTTCTCAATGCTACTTTTAATGGTCTGCATTTTTAAGGAGAGCAGCGTAGAGCAGTTCAATTACTTGTGGGACAGATTATTAGGGTTAAACTCAGGGCATGCTATGAAAGTTAAATGAGAAGTGTATCCACCTTTTTGAAGTCTCAGACACAGAGCTAATACTCTAAAAATCTGTCATTATCACAGGGGCATATGGGAGGTAGAGAAGTTGGTGAGTATTGAGTAGGGTCAAAACTATGTCTGTGAATTATCTTAAAAAGAAAAGAAACAACCCACAAATCCTGCTGATATGTAGGGTGCCATCATCAATACACTCACACACAGTAATGAAAATCACACCTCTACCACAAAGCACCCACCTGAGGGCTGAAGCAACATACCAGCTCTGCTTCATGACCATTTTCTTTTTCCTACTTAGTAATCATCAAAGTTGCCCTTATGAACTAATGTCTGGTGAATGGTAGGGATAGAGAA